ATGCTGCTGCTGCTGCTGCTGCTGCTGCGGCTGCTGCATTTGCTGCTGCTGCTTTTGCATTCATTGCTGGTCGTAATGCGGTATCAGCTGCTGCTGTTTCTGCTGCTGCTGCAGCTAGTGGTGTTGTGGTGGATGCGGCCGTTTTCGGTGCCGCTGCTGTTGCTGCTGCTGCTGCAACAGCAGCAGCAGCAGCATAGGGACGCAAGGCCTGGGGGCCCTTCAGGGTGTCTCCTTTTCAGGTGTCTCTGTTGTGTGAGACGGAATGTCTCTTGGCCATATGCTTGCTGCTGCTGCTGCTGCTGCTGCTGCTAAAGAGCTGCCAGTGCTCTTAATTCAAGGGAAGCCTATTTGGTGCTGCTGCTGCTGCTGTTGTTGCTGCTGCTGTTGTTGTTGCTGCTGCTGCTGCTATTAACTGTGGGGAGAAGAGAATTGCGGTAACGGAGCCGGGGGCCCCCCCAAGATGCTGCTGCTGTTCTTGCTGCTACTGGTGCTGCTCGTGTTGCTACTGCTGTTGCTCTTGCTGCTGCTGGTGCTGCTCTTGCTTCTACTGCTGTTGGTGTTCCTGCTGCTGCTGCTGCTGCTGCTGCTAAAGGGCACTGTATGATTTAATTGTTTCTATCTGTCTCTGTTCTCTTCAGCAGCAAAATGCAGCTGGTGTCTCCGTCTGTCTCCTCGCCAAGGAGACAGACGAAGACAGACAAACAAACAGAGACAGACTAGAGAGCAGAGAATAAACAAAATAAAATTAAAACCACAGCTAAAATAAACAAAAGCAGAAGGAGATAAACAAAGAAAAAAAAGAAACAAAGAGAGACAAAAGGAGACAGAAGGAGACAGTAGGAGACACTGCAGGAAGTGCTGCTGGTGCTGATGTTGCTGCTGCTACTGTTGCTGCTGCTGCTGCTGCTGCTGCTGTTGCTGCATACCTTTCGTTTGCTTTAAGTTTGTTGTATACATTTATAATACAGCCTTTATTTATATTTTATCATGCAGATAAAAAACAAATAAAAAGATATTAACTTAAAAGTTTTGTTGTCTCTTTCTTCTGTCTCCTTTTACTCATCGCTGCACTGATGTTATTCTTTTTAAACTCTGCTGCTGCTGCTGCTGCTGCCCGCGCCTCTGCTGCAGCAGTAGCAGCAGCAGAGGCAACTGCTTGCTGCACAGAAACTGCTGATGCAGCAAGTGCAGCTGCAGCAACTGCTTGATACACAGAGACTGCTGCTGCAGCAAGTGCTGCTGCAGCAAGTGCTGCTGCAGCAAGTGCTGCTGCAGCAACAGCTTGCTGCACAGAATCTAAATAAGTTAAGGGTTAACGCTTCCAGCAGCAACAACTGGTGCTGGAGCCGCTGCAACAGCATCACCAGCAGCATCAGCAGCAACTGCAGCAACTGCAGCAACTGCAGCAACTGCAGCAGGAGCAGCAGCAGCAAAGCCTTCACCTGCTACTGGGTCTCCATAGAGAGCAGTTTAAACCTGCAGTAGCAACAACATCATACTTAGGGTTTGCTGCTACCCAATGAGGGGCCCCCCAGTGGGGCCCCAAGGCAGCAATAGGCCCAGACTTTATATCGCAGCAGCAGCAGTCCTGCAGCCAGCTGTCTCCTCCTTCTTCAGTGTCTCCTTTATAACGAAACAGGGGCCCCTGGGGACCCCCACTCAGCTGCTGCTGCTGCTGCTGCTGCTGCTGCTGCTGCCAGCAGCACGTACACCTCCCCAAGGGGGCCCCCAGGGGGGCCCCCCTTGTGCTTTGTTTGAAGGTGTTGTGCGCTGATGCTGCTTTTAAGTCATAGATATACACCCACCCGTCATCACTTCCGCACAGCAGCAAATCGGATGCAGCAGCAACAGCTGGGACAAAGGCTTCTCCGCAGACTGCCCCGCTGCTGCTGCTGCTGCTGCTGCTGAAGCAACGTGATGTCTCTTCTTCTTGGGTATCAGTAAATGCATGCAGCAGCCACTGTTGCACATCATCCAGTGCAGCACCAAAGTGCTGAGCGGGGCCCCCCCATCCCGCTCCTGCTGCTGCTGCTGCTGCTGCTGCTGCTGATGTTGTGGGGCCCCACACTGCAGCAGGGGCCCCTGTAAATGCATTAAATGCAAGCAAGCGATTTCTATCGGTTCCTAGCAGCAGCAGAGACCCATCCGGTGAGAACCCCAAAGACGTAGGCACCTCCCAGAGCTGCTGCTGCTGCTGCTTCTGCTGCTGCTTCTGCTGCTGCTGCTGCTGCTGCTGCTGCTGCTGCTGCTGGTGAAGAAGATAAGGAGAAATACTGAAGCAAAGAAAGGGGTCTGTAAAGTCATTAATGCACCAAAATGTTATAAGACCGTCCCCTTCATAGAGGGCGCCCACAGCCCCATCGGGGTGTATGCATGCTAAGGGTCTCTTCGTGTTAGTTTGTCTCCTCCACAAGCATGTCTCTTTATCTGCAACAAAATAGCGTACAACCCCGTCATCACAGCAGCAAAAGAAAGCTGCTCTTCTGGGGTGTACAGACACCCCAGTGCTTGCAACTACTCTACCTTTCAGAGGGAATACACGTACATATCTATTCTCTCTTAGGTCCCACAGCCTGAGATTATAGCTGTGGCTTACACTCCGCATCATAGACAGGGGGCCCCCTAAACTGGGGCCCCCCCCCTCTCCCTGCTGCTGCTGCTGCTGCTGCTGCTGTTGCTGCTGTTGCAGCGGGCCAGCTGCAGTGTCTCCAGGGACCCCTCCAGGGGCCCCCAGGGTCCTTCCTGCTGCTCCTGCTGCTGCTGCTGCTGATGCTGCTGCTGCTGCTGCAGCAGATGGGGCGCCAGTAGCAGCAGCATTAGTATCTTTATAGTTTTTAAGAGTTTGCTGGTGAGATGTCTGTGTTTGATTAGCTTTAGACGGACAGAGACAGAGATAAGAGGATTCTGCGACAATATAAACCCCCTCTATACCGTGTCTCTGTGCATACAGCGTTCTTAAAGGCAGCCCTCGGCATATGTCGTGAATAAGTAAAGAGCAATCCCAGCTAGAAACAAATAATAAACATCCGTCAGAAGAAAAGCACAAACCGTTCACACTCATATTGCTTCCTCGTACAGTGTATACATGCTCCCAAGGGGGGGCCCCCCCTTCACTACGCTCTATGGGGGCCCCTATAGGGGCCCCCCTTGATTCCTCTATTGGGGCCCACCGGGGGGCCCCTATAGGGGCCCCCCTTAAATCCCCTATTGGGGCCCCCCGGTGGGCCCCCATAGGGGCCCCTACAGAGGATATAAAGGGGGCCCCCCGGGGGGCCCCCGAGGGGGCCCCCATAGGGGAACCAACGGGGGCCCCTTGAGGGGTTCTCCTATGGGGGTGAGAGCTGAGGTAGGGACCCCCGCTGCTGCTGCTACTGCTGCTGCTGCTGCTATTGCTGCTGCTGCTGCTGCTGCTGCTGCTGCTGTCCTGGAACCCAGTGGGTTCCTGTCTATAAGGCTTCATTATTATTACGTGTTTGTAATGTTGAAGGGTAAAAGAAGCAAAGATGAGAGAAAAATAAAACAAAAAACAGAATGAGGGGGGCCCCCTGCACAGCCCAGAGTATATTCATAAGGCAGGGGAGGGGGGGCCCCCTAGGCCTAATCCACAACAAGGGGGCCCCTCTAATAAATCTGAGGGCCCCTAATACCTCTTTCTATCTGCAAAGTCAGAGGCTATAAGGGTATATAAAGGGTCTTTGATGTTTTAAGAGTAAAACAGAAGAAAACCCTAAAAAATTAGGAGAGAGGGAGATGAGCACAAACAAACAAAGCAGTAAAAAGATAGAGGGTTGGGTCTCCCTTGCTCTAACAAATTATATTCATTAAGCTGCTTCTTTTGCTGCTGCTGCAGCAAAATAATATACAAACCAGCTGCAGCAGCAACAGGGGGCCCCACCAACTCCTCGGGGCCCTCTGGGGCCCCCCTGGGGGCCCCCGTATATAGTAACAATCATAATAAGAGTTGCTGCAGCAAGTGTGTTCGTTTGTTTCTTATTTTTATCTTTATATTATTGAAATATAATTTAATTAGTTTTTATTTAAATTATTTTATCATACATTCCTGCTGCTGCTGCTGCTGCTGCTGCGTGTGAGCAGCAGGGGGTGGCTAGGGATACACCTCAGGACAGCAGCAGGAAAAACAGCAGCAGCAACAGCAACAGCAACAGCAACAGCAACAGCAACAGCAGCAGCAGCAGGTAGCTCTGTGCTGCTTTGCATGCAGTTTTATAGGGGGTGTTTCTGAGGTGTACAGCGAGCTGAGCCCCCACTACT